TAAACAACGACGAATAAATAATAATACATAGGTACAAATATAAAATTTGATTTATAAAACCATTTTAAGCACAACGCGTGTGTCCAGAATATTTGGGGGAGGATGATTGGATGACTAATAAAAAATAAAATTAATATGCAATACCACAAGCCACAAGGCATAAGCTACGCATTATTTAAAAAAACACAGTACTTGAAATTGTGTATGGGTATAGTCCAATTTATTATTGAAAATCAATTATTGTTGAAATTCGTGTGTATTTTATAATTTTGTGATTTAAATATTGTGCGTAGCAGGAAGTAGGAACAAGAGACAGAGCAAGGACTTTCATTCGTTTGCATATTTTTTTTTTTGTTGATCTTATTGTATGCTAAATTAGTGCATAATACAATATTTACAACGTTGCCGATGAAATAATCGATATTTTTAGTGCATCATTTTGTTATTTTTACGTTTTTAAATCAATATTTAATGTAGTGGATAATATATTGTTGATAGCTCGTTGTAAATCACGTAAGTACCTACTTTAGTAAATATTTTTGTTAAGCTCAAGTCAAATTTTTTTTTTTTATTTAATTTTGGAGTTGTCGTTTAAAGTCGATCGTTACCAAATCTTTATGATCAATACCTGGGTATTTCAGTATAAACTGTACTCAAACTTTATCTACTAATTTTTTATTATGTAAGTATACAGGTATTTTTATTACAGGTCATGTGCGAGTAATACTTAGCAACCATGGATTGTGTTTTATTATTTTTTTTTACAGTATACCTATTTGAGAATTTTTTATTCATAAGTGGATGTTTTTAATTGCATATTTGATAGTTTTTTAGTTTATGAAAGTCCTTCCTCTAGACTCATACTCAGTATTTATAGGTTCTCTACTTTTCTGTAGGTAATATATAATATTAACAACAATAATACACTGATTTTAATTAGGTAGGTTAAGTGCTATACGCAGCGGTATGTTTACATAATGTTCCAGTAGTAGTTAGTCATTACACGGCTCTATATCAAATACTATATATGATATATTAGTTGTTATTTTAGGTGACTTATCAAACACGTACACAATAAAAAAATAGTGCACATCCACGTAGCTTTCCACTTGCCAGACGATGTCTGCAGGCACGTAATATTGATTTAACTCAAATCCCTGTACAGGTAGTTATTTTATAACTAGTTCTAAGGCCGTTGACTACCGTTCGATTTCCACACAATTAATATAACACGAATGCGTAACAAAATAACAATGTGTCATTCTCTGTTTATAAGGATATGTTATTTTTATAATATATTCAATAGGTGTATTACTATAAGTTATTTATTTTTGAATTAGTAGTACGGTATTCAAAACTAATTTTTACAAAAAATGTATGTAAACTATAACTATAAAATAGTTAATAGTTATTCATTTATCATAATATTATTTCATATTACTTTTAATTTTTTAATTGATACCGACGTACAGTAGTAAAGTACTGCAAGTAAAGCTTCGTAGATCCATAGTATAGATAACTTAAAATGAGTATAAATATTTTAAAAATGATTTATAAAAATAAATAATAAACATAATGGTGACAAGTTAATGTTTCTATAACATATGTACTATGTAGTATTGTAGTTGTATAGCTATACATATATATGTATATACATAAATATTTTTTATGCTATACCATCAATCAGAATCTAAAATAAAAGCTTAATATTATTTATTATTTATATACTTAATTAAAAAAAAAAACAATATTTCCAAATCCTTACTAAAGTACTAATTAGCTACTAACATAAATAATAGGTAGGTATAGAGTTTATAAGGGTAGGTAATGGATATTCTTACTGGTAAATTAATAATTATTAACTATACAGGCGTAGTCTTCATACTATTACGTTAATATAGCGTTTACTTATTTAATTTATACATTGGAAATAAGCTATATCCGAAACTTTTAATTTATCAGTTATAAAACCTAGCTACCTAATCTAACCTAACCATCTCATATTATAAGCTAAATATAACATATAAATGTATATTGCACATACCGCAAGAGCTCTAAGCTATTAGTTATATTCAAATGTTTCATGAAGTTTAAATTTAAATTTCATACATGTGAAAACAAAGTCATAAAATACATACCCCACAAAACTTTTATTATAATATTGTATGTTAATAATAACAAAACGTAACTAGTTTTTTAATTTTAAGAGATTATCTCTAAGTCAACATAATAATTTATAGGTAGGTAGTTTATACTAATTTAACTTACCGTACCTACTTATAAACACTTTAAAATTTGCAGTATGCATTATGCATAATATTACATTACTATTCAGTATTCAGATACATTTTAAGGAGTAAGAAAACACTTTTGTTATTATAAATAATATTAAAAAAATATCATATTTTAATTTAATAAGTTATAATTTGTATACGGGTGCTCAGTGAAAAATAAATTTAAAAATAGTATTTGAAAATAGAAACAATAATCAATGAAATGGATTAATTGCTTTTTAAGTGTGCGTTGCTAAAAGTTTGACTGTTATTTTGTGCAATATTTTTCTTCTATCTTACCCCTACCTAATGCCGAATAACGTGTAATGCGCATACTTTATTAATAAAATAAAACTTTTTTAAAATCTGTATTTTTTAGATTTAAAGCGAACAGGAAAGGACGGTTATATAAATGGTGAAAGAATATTTTAGTATACTCGCAAATTAATGAAATCATTAGATAATCATTGAAAATTGTCAGCATTAAGAAAAAAATTAAGTTTGAGTCGAGCTCAACGAGTAACTTATAAAAAAAAAATCAAGTTAGGGTAGTATAACCACTGGGTGACTCCTCCCATCACGTTTTTTATGTAAATATTTTTGTTCTAATATCACATATTCTTATCGTCCCTAAAGGAACAGATTGTATATACCTAATAAAGAAAAAAAAAAGTTTGAGTCGATAATAAATTATTATAAGAATATCTTTACCTACCTATAAACACTTGTAAACGTATTGTTGTGGAGGAATCCAAAATGGTGTTTGTTTATTACCCACAAATGTTTCAATGTTTGATTGACGATTATTTTCGATAAGAGTTCAGAGCTAGCCGCTGGGTATGTATAATAATATATTGATTAACGCGTGTTGTGACTTAGTAAGTTAATTATATATTTATAAACTATAACCTACCTACCTACCTACGAAGCTTTGGAACTTGAGATGCGACGGTTGGTATTTGAACCGAAAAATATGTAAAAAATAGAAAATACCTCTAAAATATTATATAAATTAACTACCGAGTAAATTATTGATCTATAATTAACAAAGGCCGTTAATAGTGTAAGGGCGCTATAACACCATACAAATATGAATTATTATTTTTGTTCAATTTGTGTAGCTAAGGATTAAAAATGTAAAACAATGTTCCTGGTAAGTAGACAAGTATTTCATACGTATTGTTTCCAGAAAGTCTAAAAAAATATGTAAACACAGTATATTTTTGGCATTTTAAATTTTGATGAAATAAGATATTTAAACGATGAATAATAATGGTAGTTATTCCGTTTTAATTAAGAACATTATTTGTGGGGACTTATAAAATTATATGTAATCACTAATCAACATATGGTTTTATGACATTTTCAAAATATTTAGATTAAGTTTAAGCTATTACCTATTTTATATTTATACGTTAATAACAATTAACATAATAAAACAATTAATACAGACTTTTATGATAGTTAAAATATTAAATAATAAATGCAATGTTTTTGATAAAAATTAAGTCAACTTTCCGTAATACTGATAGTAAAATAAGTTAATTTAATAAAACAATATTAAAAAACACATCATAAAATGTACTTTGCATAGTCAAAACAGAGTAAACAGACCATATTCGCTAAGAATCTTTTTTTTGTGTACAATGATATATTATCATTGAATCAAAATTTAAGGCTTCCATTACAGTGACCAACTCGACACCTACTGTACAGCAGAGCAAGTGCTCACTTGTCCACCTTTTTGGATTTGTGTTAGTGTCGACATATCACGCGAGTCTCTTATTACTTATTAGGTATTCGGCTGTAGTAAAAGTTTTTAATCCCTTAAGGCTACACGTTGAGGTCAAATGCTTATTTCCTGCATTGCCAAATGTATAATATATTTCGTTATTTGTTACACAGATATATTTTAATAGTACTTGTGGGAGTGGATTTATTATTTTTATTCATCAAACAGTCAGTTTTAGGGTATTTAGGTTCTCGTGACCTCGTGTCTCGTACCTATATTCCAAGATTCATATAAAAGTCGTGTTAATTAATTTTTAAACTATAAAAATATAATAGATATTTGTATGCTATACACACTGGTATAAATTATAGATAGGTATATTCGCATTTTAAAGATAATTTTTAGTTATGTGCATCGAAACGTCAAAGTACCTATTATTTTAGCACAAGTAAAAATTAAATATTCTAAACCATAATAATTATGTAACATGTACACTAAATTACTTGATATTTATTCTGTCACTACAAAATAGCTTTTAACTGATTATTTACAAACTAAAACAATAAATTATTTTCAAGCATGAATAATGATAGCTGCTACCTGCTTTACGAAAACAAAATCGATGAAAAGATAAATGGTATTAACACATCATTATTTGTGTTCCTGCAAAAATGACAAAGTTTTGTAAAAAAAAAATCAATGGTTTGCATGGAAAACATTTCTATCATCCTATATGTAAATTTAATATACTTACCTAAGTACCTACTACCTATTTTTTTTTATATTGTTTGTAAAACAATGTTTTTAAAACCGATTTATTCATAATAATTACATATTAAACTATTATAATATGAATAGATCATATTATTTGTATGAGTTTTTCAAGGCCTTGTGTGTGTGTTTTTTTTTAGGGACGAGACAGTGTCTTTGGTGCAATGTTAGGCCGGCACAGACGAGCATGACGTGCGTATACGCATATTATAATATGTATATACCTTGGATCTTCTTGACTACGTCGTCGATGTTGACGCCGCCGACTACCTTCTGGACGATCGAACACGCTTTGTCGGTGTCGGACATCGGCGGCGCGTCTGCAGCGATCGCGCGACTGTCGGTCGTAGCCGACGCCACCATCGAGTCGCCAGCCGGCAAAGGATTGCTCCCGGCGCATCCCATTTCGCGGCCTCGTGTCCTACCTTTGTAGCTGTACAATATGATGTGATTTGATTTGATTTATAGAAACAACAGCAGACGGTCCGATTCACCGGGTACGATTAAGTCGTACGATTTTCTACAACTGTGCCGCGAGCTGTCCTCTTCGTCTCCGTCGTGTAGTAGTCGGTGCTCGCTGGTCGGCTGCCGGACGTCGTCTGCCGTCGTAACCCCCAGAGACCCGGCTATATATACAAATATATTTGTACAATAAGTAGGTTTATAGGTGTAAGTGTGTACCTCGCTATTTACCTATGTATGTACGAGTCGCGTATTGTTATTGCGTTGTACCGGAATGAAAACCAGGAACCAGAAGACATTCTTACGCATGTGTGTGTGTTTGTTTATAAAAATATTGTGATGAGTGGGTTTTAGTACATATGTGACTATACAGGGCGATCGCATGCTCACCTTTTTTTTTTAATTATAAAATAATGAGCGCAGTCATTCAAAATCTGATGTTTAGACATTTTTAGATATATACTTAAGCCCATGATATTTTTAATTCCTCTAGATTTTCATACCTCTTAAGAGAGACGTGTCTTGTGGAGATAAAAACTTTTGTTTTTTTTTTCAAATGAGAACTCTCTTCTTTTCTACAGCAAATTACTAGAGAATATTTTTTCTGACAAGGTCAAAATCAAAATTCGAATGAGTAGTTTATGAATTATATAACTTTGTATATTTTAAAGACTATATAGGTCCGCGATTATAGATTCGGAAAAAATAAGGGCTCTGCTGATTTTACACTCTTAGTAATTATAATGAATCAATCAACATTTATAATTAGTAAAAAGGTGAGAGTATAATAAATACTAGATCCAATATTATATAATTTATATTGTATATGGAAACCCATTTGTAAAGACTTTAATTATCTTTATAGTATAAACATTTTAAAATTCAAAAACTATTGGTCAGGTATCAACATTTTCAAAAAATCTAAAGAATTTTAATGTATCAAGGTCTTTAATTATGTAGGGAGATATATTTTAAAATTCTCAAAATAGTAATTTGAATCAATTCGTGGTTAAAAGAAAAAAAAATAGGGATGAGTGTGCTGGGCAAATCACCCTGTATGAGTATATAATATATTGCCGGCCGGTATCTATATAGGTAATATATATAATGGCGTGGACAATAAAGAATAAAGCGAGTATGCTTCTGCCGCCGACGAGCGCTGGTGGTCATTATAATATATATTGTATATATTGTGTGTGTACTGCGTATAGTGTATACTCTACATACTATATATATGTATAGGGTATACCATATATATATACTACACATACATAATATATATATAATACATATTAATATATCGTTATTACAAAATACACAATTTATACGTATATACATATACTATATACTTACATATCATTTCACACTCGCAATTGTTGGTACAGTGTGATTTGTTCTAGTTTTACGGTCAACTTTTTTATTTTATTTTAAAATTATACATTTTGACTGTCACGTTGTTGTAATAATTATTGTGTATTATTGTTATTTTCACTTAACATTTTTTTTGCCAATTTACATTTTATATATTTAATAATCTCATAACTCGTGGGTATAGGTACAATCCTACACAGTAAATTTGGAAAATTGAATTATTAAACTCGAGTATATATACGATTAAATGTTTGGACTGCATTTTTAAGCAGCTGCAGCTATACGTGCTACCTAGTGTGGTTTGAAAACGTTAATTATAATGGTTAAAATAAAGCAAGAAAACCGTCTAACGTCTTAATATTCTTTTCGAACCCCAATAAATACTGATACACCGGTACATTTGCACTAATTAGTTATTTGAAAAATTAATCTGTGATTTCCATTCACGAGAAAAGAACAATTGCTATTAATTTATGCATACCTACCTATCTACATAATGGTGTACCAACGAACAAAGTTTGTCACAGTATTCGACATTTGAATAATTAAAGTTTATGACTTATTGAGAACTGAAATGTTTGGGAGTTTTTAGAGGAAATAATGCCAAATATTTAAATGAAAAAAATGTTTCTAATATTAAATCGAACATCGTTATTATAATAGTTACCTATATAATATTACTAACGTCAAACGGGAATATTATATTATGATATAGTAGTAAAGTTTTCGCCGACTTTAAATTCAAAAGCTTAAGTAAGTTGAAAAAAGTTTGCTCAAGAACTACTGGTTCTTAGTCACATGTGATAACAAAAACTTTCCTTTAAAGTTTTTAAAGTTTAAACGATAACGTTCCTCTTCTTATTAATTCATTAAACAAAGGTTTGGAAATTTGGACGATGGTATGTTCCATCATTGGTACACGTAGGTACCTATATTGTAAATACACATACCAGCAAGAGGATAAATTATTTTGAACAAGTTTGTGATAGTATAATAAAGATACTCTAAACGGCCGATAATCGTTAATATAATTAAGTAAATCGAAATATCGAATTTGTATATATTTTTTCGAATTTAACTACATTATGTACTTAACTGTTATTTCATACAGGTACCTACCTATATTACCATGCGCAGAGCTGCAGGAGACGGAAAATTTGCAATTTTATAGCAGATAACTGAAATCGCGGAAACGGGTGAGGGAGCGTTAAAAAAACAAATCACCCTGTATATATAGGTGAGGTTTGACGATCGAACTCGTGTAGCCGTGGGTGTGTGCGCGTGCCGCCGTGACAACGTGAGGTGCAAAACATTGCAGTAGGTGACGGTGATTGCGCTGCTCGCGGTCGGCCGCCACCCCTAAGGTCTCGCATTTTTTTTTTTAAGCTCGAGTGTAATAATATTATTAATGTTGTCGTGTGAAATTTGCACACGCTTTCTACTTTCTAGCGCGTCTGCGGCGGTGGCGTCGACCAGACGGTTTTCGGTTTTCCGCCAATGTGCGTACGCTTACGACGCAAGCGCAGGGCTGCACTAACCTCTAAAGGTGTGTAAGGAGCATCTGCTCCTGCTGCAAGCGGCCACTTTTGAGGGGTGCCAAAATATAAGCTAGGTACCTATCGAAAAGAAAAAAACCAAATTTTACAAAAATATTATTTAATGGTTATAAATAATGGTTTTTCTTGTCTATTTGATTACGGAACGACTGCACGAAGTTTGAAAAAAAATTATAAACTTAAATTATGAAAACATTTTGTTTTTACTTTTAATTTATATTTTGAAAACGATTTTCATGAAGAATTAATATGTAATTTAATAAAGCATTGCATTAACCATTGTAATATCTTTAAATTAAAAAAAAATATATATCCTCCAATTATAAATAATTAGGTAATTTTTTCATTGTTTTTCGTGTAAACACTAAACTAATTTACAGAGCCAGTTCAATTTACAAATCTTACAATCCATCATACGTTGTACAGATGTCAGATATTATACCTATATTTTATAATATACGGCTTCATTACGCGTCATGATTAACTTATAAAACGTGTTGATTTGAGTCTTACTAGACGAAAAATAGTATCGTTTTTTTCAATTAAATTTTCTCACAGTCACCAAATGTGCTGGGCTGCTGAATATAGTTTGTTTTGTGATTTACTTGTAACCATTACTACCTAGTCTATAACAGTTAAATGGCATTCATGCACCTAATATCTATATTGTGCCTAATTTGGATTTGTTTATTTTTGTTTTTCACGTGTGCCATGTACAACTTTTAATTACACTGGTAGACGATTTATGTTTAATAATATTTATTAAATTTATTTATAAATCCTAGGTTATGCAGTAAGTTAAAAACAAATAACTAACAAGCAGGTATGTAAGTATTTAAAACTGCCGAAATTATTGTTGCAAAATTGTATCTTAAGTTAAGCACTTAAGCATGTACTTATTGTACTTAAATATAATTATACAATTTAATTGAAAAAAACGAATATTTTTAATGATTATTTATCCCATTGATTCGGAACACTTGAACACTTGTAAGTGTCTAAAAGTTTTAAATAAAATACAATGACAGTTCATCTATCAACTTCATAATATTTTGATATTGCCTAATCTGTTAAGATTAATGAACTTGAGACTCGAGTTCTAGAAATTTGAATTTGATATATTTGTATGAAAACATCATTGTTTTGATAGATACGTTATTGTTTAGACTAAAAACTTTGTAATTCTGTAAAATAAACAAAACAAAACACTCCCTAGTGAGCTTTCGAAAATATTTCAATCAATGCCTCTAGAGATTTAAATTGTATTGGCAGAGATTGGGTCACATTTTAGTTAATGAATACAATAATGTTCTTCTAAAATTTAATTTTTTATTGAAGAGCGAACTTCGCAGTTTTTGTTTTTTTGACGGAGAGTTAAGTATCCATAAACTCAGGTCACAATCAAAAAAAAATTCTAAAAAGTCTATGGCATTAAAATACAGAGTTTTAAAGTTAATTTTTGACCTGTGCAAATTAACTGTATTTATGAATTCATGTTGTTTGTACATATATAATAATAAGTTGTGGATAATTTTAATTGCATACCTCCGACTGCGATAAAGTATGATGTTTTGTATAGCTGTATAGTGGGTTATTCCTAAAATGTTGAAAACAATAAAACATAGAAATAAAATTATTACAATAATATGAATTAACATTTATTTTAAACCATGAACATAATGGTACAATATATTATAAAATTACGACTTGATATAATTTACTTAAAAAAAATTGATTAAAAAATATACAAGTACATGTTATAATATAATATATATTTTTCATTCATATATAAATTACAGCTAACATCGGAGCTTTTTTTGTTCAATACATTCAAAACATTTATGTTGTTACTATATAATAAATTGTATACATAATATTTATAACATATTAAACATACAACTACGAACACTCGTTGTTTACATATATTTATGTTATGCAAAATGAAGGTACCTATAGGTATCTAAAAATTACAATAAAAATATAAAACAATATATTATTTTTTTTATACATATTATACTTGATATGTAGGTACTTAAAACTCTTAATTATTTTACCGAATATTGGAGCTTATAATTTTAAATTAAGCCATGGGTATAATATACTTTATAAGGGAATAACTAGGATTTGATATAAATAGTCGATACATGTTTATTGTCTTTATTACGTATTAAAACCAATACAAACAATATTTTTGAAAAAAGTGAAATTAAAAAAAAAAATTCATGCTCAGTATGATATTATGATATAGACAAAATGTACTCCAGAATCATGGAAACTTAATATTAATTTAAGTATAACAATAATTATTAATAATCATTACTAGATTTCTTATTGAGCTTTGGTTTTTGAAATGTTTATCAATTTTTCATTTATTTTATGTATCGCCAAAATTATGTTTTTACTATTTGGAATATATACCTATAGGGTATCTATTAAATATTTTATCTAATTATGTAATACGTCATAGTGTAGACATTAAGGGGTATACCTCATTACTCAATAGTTGTTTTATAGTTATGTTCATTTATTGTAATATAATAATACAAATCAAACGAAAATAGTAAAATGTTTCATCAAGTTCCTAACAAATATTGTATAGTTATTACTTATGAGTATTACGAATATAATAGTATCATATTATGCATGTGTTAAAATATGAAATATTTTCAGTCCTAATTTTCATATCTTATTTATGCTATAATGAAACACAATTTTGACAGTTAATTCATGATTATAACTATCTAAATTGCACACGTTTTTTTGCTAAAAATGAGTACTACCTATTAAAATAAATATCATTTACATTTATTGTACATGATATAAGCATATCATTAATTTTTTCATTTTACTTTTGATCTAAATCAACATATTCTTGTTTAATACTTAAGTAATCTTACTTCAGTACTTACTTTACAAATTCTTAATACGATATATTATTTTATATGTTTATATCAGTGTTAATAAGTTTTAATATAGTATAGTACATAATATATTATAAGTAATAACTAATAAGTTTATAATTTCAACTATTCACTTAATTAATTATTATCAGATATTTTAAATAAAGTTGTTTGTAGTAAAGGTAAAATAAATATCAAGTACTTATGTTTGAAAAATATTGTTCTAAATATCTAACAAGAGTAAATCCCAAAAGATCAAAAGACATAATATATGAAGACAAACAGTTAAGTAGTAGAAACTTAAAATAACAACTATATTGGTATGAGTGTTTGTTATGACTATTAATAATAAATAATAGCTACATAAAAAAACATTTTTAATAGAATGAATATTCAAAAAATTAATGAAGTTAATATTGTGTTAGTCGATTGAAATTCTAAATTGTTATTTGATGCAACTTAAAGATAGGTAACTATTTTAAGATGTATAACGTAATTAAACCCAACAAAAGTGAAGAAGTTAAACGAAAAATAAAACATTATATTTATTGAACTTAAATGTTAAAAATTAATTTGTTTTAGATATCTTTAATGACTTTTATCTTCGCATAACGCGTAAATGCATTATGAGAAAAAAAAACACTTCACTGCAGGATTTGTTATTTATTAATTACCATTAAATGATAAATGGGACTGTGGGACTAGGTATATAAATTCACAGTTGAGTTCAAAACTGTTTAATTGGACTTTCGTGTGATTTTGAATGGTAATAATATTATAATTAATGTAGAGTCGCTGATGCCTCTTAATTTATTATCCGTTCTGTGTGTTAATAATTACAAGACATCATCATTAAAATATGCTATCGATCAAATTTGATTTTCATTGTTTGTACTTTGTAAGAATAGGTTACATACCAATTTATTATCATGTACACAAAACCTTTGTTACAGTGAAAAAACGAATTTCGGAAAATATCATAGGGCCAACTATTCGTATTGCCTTAGTAGGTTATGCTAAATATTATAATTTTACAATGTCATTAAATTATAATAATCTCGCAAATGTTGTAAATTGTATAAATTATATCCATAGTTGATATGATTAATAATGATAAAACATTTTAACTATATTTAATGTTTAAATGAGACCGCGTTTTTTAATTCGGTTATTTTAGGGTTATGATTAATAATTTCCAATAGATCGACATATTTATGAACATTTTACAATTTCATTAAATCATAAAGATAGGTATGATCATGGCTAAATAACTATTTAGCCATGGGTATGATATGTACGGCTATTGACTACAATAATATAAATGTATCAAACGTGAACATTTTAATTCTAATTATGTAAAAAGAAATTATACATCTATATTACAACATTAAACGAACACAATTTGTATTAAGGATTTTATTATTTATTTTAAAATATTAAATAGGGGGTATTTAAATATTTTTGGAAGATAATGTGGATCAATTCGACGAAAAAATCATTTATATTTCTAGATAACGTATCTAATTTTGTTTTATATAATCTAATGTTATGTTTAAATTTTAAAACTCAAATATTAAATATTTATATCAAAGAGTTCAAAGTTCAATTAATAACATTGATAAGTGATAACTTAAAGATATTATTTTTCATTTTATGAAAATCACAACTTAGTATGAGATAATAATATATCTTTAAGTAAACTGAATAATATTTTTGAACGATTTATAAATATTTAATCATATTATTATTTATGTATTAATAAGGTGTGACACTTTCCTATTAATCCTTAACAACCTATGTACTTATTTTATTAAAATGTATGGAGTACTTACTTACCACACGTTATTGATATTTCGCATTTCAAAAGGTAAAAAGACTCATTATAATTTATAATACGTAAGCATTAGTAATTTGTACCTAATATTATATTAGAATTAGATGATGTCTCAATTCAATGAAATAGGTTTATCGTACATAAGTGCCTTACTTCATGTCTTATATTCATATCTGAAAAAAACTGAGAGATAACAATATAATCTTGTCTGTGTAGAAAATGTAAGCACAAATGCACAATAATAATTATAATTTATAATGAAACGAGATGATTTTATTCATTAAAAATGGCAACACAGTTTCTCGTATGCTGTTTATCAGAATGTTTCAAAATACTCGAGACATTAGATTTCGAGTGCTATTTTTTTTTCTCTGGGAGCAATATTTGAATAGAAATGACACTAACCTGATTATCTGAACAAAATTAATGTTGTTTGAAACAGTATCACGTTCCCTTATGCGGGTGGCATGAAATCGGCGTTTCTCGGCCTCACGGGTTAATGACGTAACCAATTTAACCGTTACTATTTGATTGATGCCCAGAAAATGTATTTATTAACACTATCGCTGAGTCTGTTAGTTCCAATCCATTATGCATAACCATAATCTTATACGTGATCAATAACATAATTATACCATAATAATTCAACAGCTCGATGATAAATTTCTGAGGTACAATATAACTATTTCAAATAAACTGGTCCAAAACTGGCATTGCAGAATGGTATTGCAAGGAATCTATTTAATTTTAATTTTGTTACCAGAACCAAGGTTTGATTAAAATTTTTCCATTCGGTGGTATCAATTTAATAGTAAATTGAATTTTGTAATATCTTCTTTTTCCTTTAAAAACCCTAAAAATACTTTTATGTTATATCATATTGTCTTATAATTATTAGATGTCTGTAGTGAATTATTAAAATTTAAAACTAAGGCTTCAATTACATGTCTTACAGCATAAGTTTGTCCAATTGTATCTATTTTAAATTAATTAAGAAAACCAAAAACATCAGAAATTTTAAGTGGCAGTTATTTGTTGAACACTTAGTAATAAAATATTAATTCAGTGTATTGTATTGAAGTGAAAATTTTAGTTTCGATCTCCGATCTTTGAAAATGTAAAGGATTAACAATACTTACATAAAAAAAATTTTCTATTACCTAATATTTTTCATGCAGGTACATCAATGATTGCTATTATTAAAAATAATTAAGTACCTACCAATTGAGTGAGAATTTCTTTACATTTCCCATGGCATTGAGATATATAGTTCAGGATAATTCAGATTAAATCTTGTTATCCCCAATTCAAACACTTACAAAATGTTATGAAGGTTTCTATCTAGAATATACCAGTCTGTAGATATTAGTTGGAACATGTCAAGTAGGTTGGTTGGTACACTAAGATATTTTGATCATTATTATGTCTAAAACTCACATCACGTTCAAGAATAATATATCTGGAAACGTGCGTATAAATATCTAAATATTAATAATACAATAATACAATTTAACAAGAGATAATATATTGATTTTGAACTAAATGCTATAAAATTATATTTATGGAATTTCTAATAAGTGATATTTACATATCGATGTTCAAATAACATATTTATTATCAACGTGTTTATATTATATTATTTGAAATAAAACTAAAATTTTAATTTGTTTCAAAGAGTTTAAAAATTATTGGTATCTTTAAAAATACATTTGTACTTAGTCCTAATATTATTATACAAAACAACACACCCGTCTTCGCTGCAATTCACTCTAATGAAGCTACACTATACAATGTACCTAAACTACTGCTGTTGCTAAACTAATAAACCACAGCTATATAGTAATATGAACACCCCCCTAGACATTTTTTTATCTTGAACTACTCTGTAGGGCTAATGCATGACAAATATTGTTAAAATCAATATTGTCTGCGTACGCTATCATTACTGGCACAATATTATTATTATAATTACGCGTTCTACGATCCTAAATACGATTGACATTCTGCAGTAATATGATGTTTGCAGTTTAAAGTAAAACAATCAATTTTGTAATTTGTAATACATAGCTTATCAACTTTAATACTCTTCCCAGATTGATTTGTCCAACTATATTACTTTATAGGCACCGACTAATATACGCTAATTTTTCCTAAGTCCATTACGCTTGTAAAATACTGGAATATTATACATTTATACTGTCATAAACTCATAAAATTATTCTCGAGCACCTACCAAAGTTCAACTCGCAGTCAAGAATGAGATATAATTATTGGTCAGCTATTGAAGTATTAGGTACCTTGCCCGTAAAATATAATTCTAGGGGAATTCATTCAACGCAAGACACGCTTTTTAATTCAGAAAACATTTCTTTTAAATAATTTTAAGTCGTTATAAAACCACACAAAAATTGAAATATTTCACTATTTTTTACCGTTATCATTTTTGTAATTTTTACTATTTCAATGATAACATTACTTTTTTAATTTCATTATTCAAAACAAGAATTCGGAGTATTTTGATCTATAAAAATAAAATTTAATCGAAGTGGGTAACTATTTAAAGTTAGTGGACCGTAGAAGTGAACCAGATTTTTCGGGGTAACCCACATCACTCCGTCTATCAAATCATTAAATACTTATACCAGTTGGCAGTCGGCAATTACAACTAATAAACTATTAAATTTGAATTTTATAGATTGAAATACTTAAAAAAACATTCTGCTTTGAAATAAGGAATTAAAAATGAATATTATCATTTAAAAATTTAAAAAATGACAATGATAAAAAAATAGCAAAATAAAAGTTTATTCAAAAAAAATTTTTTTTTTTTGTTACTTGAAATTAAGTTTTTAAAATATTTTTCAAAAGGTTAATTGTTTTTTAAATAATGATTTTCTTACGTGAATTGGATCATTCGGTAGGTAAATATATCGATGTTTGGTGACTGAACATATGTATAATCGTTTTGAACGATGCAACGATAATGTTGAGGATGTAAAAAAATATAATATAATACATTAATACTACAACGGTAATAATTTATATCGGATGTCAGTTAGGTACCTAAATTCGTGTAAGCCTGCGATTTAAGTTACATAATATTATGCCATGCAGTATACAAAGTATATATTATTATTTCGCTGCTTAAGTAGGTATTTGCAGTTGACGTCTTATGTAGTGTATTATGTATGTTTGTTTAATAATATTATTATACGTGTGTGCTGCCGTCTCGACTACGGTTATGTACTAGTAAATAACCATGGTCCTGACCGGAATCACTAACGAATCGATTATGGTTAAGCCGGATTCATCGTTACATCGTGTGTCGTATCGAGAGAGGTCGTGGTAACTATGGTAACAACTGGTAACCAATATGGTTGGTTTATGAGTTGAGCTTCAATCAATTCTTGATATGGTCAGTCACAATTTGGTAATTACATGACGCCAAAAAGTAACGTCCAATCACAATGCGATTTGATCGACACGACACGACACACGATCTAGCTATGAATCCGGTTTTATACGCATAGTGAAGCATCTATAAATCTACGAACTACTGTAATTGGACTCTTCAAACGACTTATCGATGGACATAATGTCGGAACACGTCCTGGACAACGACATTTTGCTACCTTCGGTTGCGACAGTGGTCGGCTGGGACTGTTGTCGTACGGGTGTCGACCCAGGCGAACGGTCATCGGCAAACCGTTGCGGCGACGACGCGGCCGAACCGCTACCAGTGCCACGGTTTGCGGTCCTGGCCCACTCAGCGGCATCAACGACGTCGTTGGCCGACGAACGCCATCCGCCGCCACCGCCGCGGCCCCCGACACCGCCAGTGCCAGCGCACACCGGCGAACCGGATCTACGGCGGGCCGCCACCACGTCCGAGCAACTGGAGTTCTGTCGCCTGCGCTTCGACTTGATCGCGTGTGGCACGTCACAAGTGGCCGACCGCGTGCACCGCTTGGCCCGCTGCCGGTGATGGTCGGCCGCCATGGCCGAGGCCGCTGCATACGCGATTATCGTGTCGTCCAGCTCGACAGGTGTTTGCCTGCGCAGAACGTGCCGTCGGGCCGTGTCCGACCTGCGGCTTCTGTCCCGCACCCGCATCGTCACCGGACACTCGTTGGGCACGTGTAGGTCCAGTACCATCGAACCTCGAGATCCCCTGGATGACGTCCTCATCGGGTCGTTGACCGACTCCCTGCTGCCGTCGCCGCCTTGCTTGTTGCCGTTGCCGCAGTTGAAATTTCCAAAGTTGTTGCTGTTGCTGTAGGTCAACAGGCCCGAACTGCTGTGCCGGGATCGGGGTGGAGAGAACAGCGGGTTGTAGTCTTGCGTGTCCATCGACATGGCCTGTCGGCGCAAAGTGTGTGGACTGAGCAGTGCTCGGCCGCCGCCACCACCGCCCGACGACAGAACGTGCACCGCATGCTTGTGCCTGAGGGGCAGCCTACCGACGCCCGACTGTGTGGCGCCTCCGGGTCCGCGGTTCGCAGACGCCAACGCAGCCGCCGCCAAGTTGGGCGCCGACGGGCTCTTGTTCATCTTGTGCCGTCCACCGTCGCACGGGTTTTGGTAGCTGCTTCGGCCGCTGTCGCCCCTGGACAGGTAACCGGCGGACGGTGTCTGCCGACCATGGCCGCGATGACCAGACACCTGGCCGCCGCCGACGCCGCTGCCCATTATTTTTAATTGGTTGGACATAAATTTGGCAGCCCTATCGCGCGCCTCGAATGTCATCACGCACGCCGCCACAACGATGAACCCTGAAACGAACGAGAAACAAGATTTCTTCATCAATACACTAATGGTTATCAACCTTTTTTCATAATGATAATTAGATATCTCTAATCATACGCAGTAAGCTGACCTGAAGTGTTTAATCATAGTAATATATCAATATATGTAATGCCTGAAGTACATAGGTAATAACATATAATATTAAGATTTTGCGTCTTATTACAACTCAAGCACAAATCTGTTTATAACGGTACACAGACCACTTGTGTGGTGTTTAAAAAAAAGTCCAGAAAACATTGGAAAATGGTTCAAGTGTATGGTCTCATTTATTTAAGGGTGAAATCAATTTTCTTTGGTTTTTTATGGGCTGTCATATAGTATGCTGTCTACCAGCAAATGCGTTCTACCAACAGCTATCGGATGAAATCTACTTGCAGCCGGCCGGTTTTATAATATTGCTTAAAATTATCGTTAATAGATTTGGTTTGATCTCTATTATTTTGGTTAACACTTTATCAGTGTCGGCCTGGCATACCAATAAGGCTCGTGGATCAGTTTTTTTTAAGGAGCGTCATAATGAAATACGAAGGAAATTACCAAAAAAATTTACATGACATATTATTGAAACAATTTTTCTTTACCATGGACCTCGAGACGGCTCCTAGGTCCTGTAAAGAAAAATTGTACCTAAAAATAACGCACGGCTTAATATATCGATAAATTCTTTAAGCGGGGTCCCTACTCCCTGTATAGACATGCAGAAACACGCCAAGCAAATAAAAAAAATGATGAGACCAGAAAAAAAATGGTGGGGCCCCGGCCACGAAATAATTCTACCATTTACGTCCTTAAATAGGACGTACCTTCCTAGAGATTTTTTCAATGTTTGTACAGGCATTCGTCGTATATATTTACAAACTATTCACTTATGACTCAGGGGTCTTCAGCCTTTTCATGCAGCGGGCCACGTATTATTTTTTTAATAATCTTGCGGGCCGCGTTCGTATTGTAAAAACATGTATTGTATACAAAAATTCAGTTTCATTATTATAGTTTTTATGATTGCATTTTACATTGGAAATTACAAATTATTATTTTATTTTATATCGCATATTTCCGATAGCGATGGCTTAGCCGTTATAATTTTATCGAATTAAAAAATATACTTGCTACGTTTCAAATGTGATCGCGGGCCGCATATTATGACAGGGCGGGCAACGTGTTGAAGACCCTTGAGTCTTATGTAATGCTAGAGACCTAGAGTGTTACTGTTAAGTAATAATACCAAATCGTTAAAATATTTTTGTTGGTTTTTTTAAACAAAAACACACAGGGTGTTTTACTAAGTATATTAACCCCCCTTTTTTTATTTAAAAATACAGTTATTCAAAATCTGATTTTTTGAATTTTTAAATATAGGTACCTACTTATAGGTTATATTTTTAAGCTCTTGAGATTTTTTGTGTTTCTTAAAGAGTACCCTGTGGAAAAACAAACTTCTATTTTTCAATTGGGAAACTTTTCAACTGTAAATTATCTAGTGGAAATTTTTCTGAAAATGATGCATTAAAATCAAAATTTGAACTAGTTTATGAATTATTGAACTTTGTGCAAGTACTAGTTATACTAGATCCATGTTAATGAGTTTGAATGAATAAATTTGGGAGTATGGTGATTTGAAAAAGTTGATACAAGAAATTTATCAATGAAGGTCTCGACTCCAAGAACATTCTAGTTTGAGTTATGCTCAAAACAAGAATCATAACTCGGGCACCTTGCAACCGCTATTATTTTCATTTTATTCTAAAATGCGCATACATTTTTGGCAAAAAATGTATAAATAGAAAAAAAAATGAATAATATCAGAATAGAATTTTTTTTGTTAGTTAATTACTGAAGCAAGCATGGTATATATTTGAACGAACAATATTATTTACAAAAATGTTAATAAATGATTTTGGGAAATGTCACCCCTTCATAATGTAATGCACACCAATAACCAAATTATAATTTCAAGTTTTAACATTAACAAACAAAGATATAATTTTATTAGAGACTTAATGATTTTAATCTATCAATATTTATAGTAATTCGTAATATTGGTCAAGTATAATTAACACTAGAATACTAGATCCAATATTACATCTAGTTATAAATTATAATGTTATAATGTTTATATGTATGTAAAACCATTCGTAAGGACTACATTAGTACAAAAATTGTAATAATTATTAACAACTGCTCTTCCGAATTTTTAACTAATATGTCTAAATTGGTACCTATTTTTCAAAAAATTATACTAAATAATAAGAATTTTTAGTAAATAAGAAAAAAAGCCACATTTTTCATCGCCACAGCCCCATAGAACGAGGTATCCTGAGATTTTTGTATTACTTAAGGAGCTTATGCAGCACAAAAAATCTCAACAATTTAAACATTTTGTCTTTAAGTATATCCAAAAATTTCAAATATCAGAATTTGAATAAAATCATAATTTAAGCAAAAATAGGGGTTCATGATTGGTGAAACACCCTGTATAGATATCGTTCGTAATTTTATTATTAATATTGTAACCAAAGAAGGTAGGTAAAACAAAATAACCAAAAGATGATCATATTAATATTATTATATAAATTCAAACAGTCATATGACTGAAATTTTATTATATACCTACACATTTTAAACGTTTATATTATTATGCTTATACATTTAGTTATTAAATAGATTTTAATTTTTTAATATACATTTTAAAGAAAGTAAGAATAATTTTGTTTTTACTGTTTTATATATTTTGGGAGTAGTAAAAAAGTATACCACAAAAGTTTCAGATATAATGTTTAATAGAATACAGATGATACTTTGAGATTGCCAGAATTTAAATATACACAACGATTTTAGGGATAAAAAAAGAACAAAAAGATAAAACGTTAAAACTTTCTTTACATTTATTATCAAGTACCTAATTATATTTTTTTAAGTTTTCATTTTTTTTTAACGGTAAAAGTATTTCAATGGGCGAAAAAACATATTGTTCTATAGCGGTAAAACGTGTGGTAGTTGTACAAATAGGGCAAATATGGCAACCTACAGTAACCCATAAAGTATAGTTTAAGTTAGACCGTTCATGATTAGTTCTTAAATTTATATTTTGACAATTTTATGAGAGTATAAAATTATGGTTCTACATCGTACTTAGTTTCAAAGATATGGTAATTATATGTACATTTAAGAATTTCATTGATAAATGAATTAAATATTTTTAGTCGGTATTGATTACTTGATTAGTTTATTATATTCTGTAATGTACTATATGTTTATATACAAAATAACATTAACTCAATATTTACCTCCAACGCCCATCACAATTGGTCCGGCATATGACAATTTATATATATGGGATGATTTTTTTGTTGTTTTTGTCGTACGTATGGATGTACTCGAATTACCACTGTCGGTTTTCGTGACAATGTCATCTGATGAAAGCTGTTCCGCGTAATATCCTGTACGAAAAAGTGCACAAAGATTGGTTAACTGTGTCAATAAAATACATTTAAAATTGATGTATACCAAACAAAAATCCCAATCAACTTGCTAAAAGAGTTGTTAGTTCAAAACTTCATGAATAATATTTTAAAGTATATGTAAATTTAAAAAATGGGTCATTTTACATTTTATGAAACTTTTTACACTGATAGCAAAATGATTTAAAATATAATATTTCAGGTAATAAATTATAAATGATAATTTGCAAAATTTTCATTTGGTATTTTCAGCTTATGATAATATAGTTTTGTTTTTTTGGATGTGTAAAAAAATATAATACATAATACATATATCTTATAATTATTATATAGGTACTGTATAAGTAGGTTCGTGGGATTATTATCATAATTTGGTTGATCGCCACAGGGTTTTTTATTTAAATCTGCTTTGATATTCCGTTCGGGGTCTCAACAATATTTTAAAACTTGTCATTGATATCTTTTTTGGGGATCTTATGATCTTATATTATAGGGTTATACAGTAATAGAGTCTCCTTTTTCGTGGTTTTCAAGGTGGATCAGATTCTACAATGTAACCATCAAAATTTTGTTTTTACATAACGTTTAAAGATCTCACGGCGGTCAACTCATACTTGTTTTTTAAAAATATAATCAAATAAACTCATAATGTATTGATATACCTTACAATGAGAAAAAAAAAATTTTTGTTTTGTATAATTTATACTTGTGTTAGAATGAGCGTGGCTTGGATACAAGTATACTACTAACAAAACACACAGTTTATTAATCCAAATATCAAAAAGAAGAAAAAAGTAATAAAAATACCAACTTATATGCCGCAGTTCTAATATACGGCATATTTTATACACAAATGATAAATCATAAATAACATAACGGTTGCAAAATCATGGTAGTATTAATAATGTAGGTAGGTACCTACCTACTATTTTCGTAGCTTAGGTATAAGCAGAACCGAAACAACCCATAGTATACACTTTAAGAATTTATATAACAAAGAATTGTATTCAACGTCTCAAAATGTAATTGTATAGCTATAATACTATTATATAATATATAGTAGGGTACTAGGGTACTAGGGTGCTATAGTCTATAAGGATCATAACTCATAAGTGAACTTTTAATATTGTATGAAATAAGGCCAAAATCGTTTTAATAATTTTAATATAAATAGAAAGGTAGCTTAGTAAACAAATGGGGCTTCTACGTTTACCTACATTCAGAATCATATTAAAGTTATTTAATAATGAAATTTATAAATCATTCGGTGGAGTGTCCTAGTTTTCAAATTGTATGAATCCTTTTAAAGTATAGCATTTGATTTGTAACTTTTATAAAGGTTTATTATATTATTCTCTTTTAATTGAACTTTAAATTGTATTCGCTAATTGAGAAAGTCTTAAATTTTAGTTACCTACTTGATTTGGTTTTGTACTGTTGGGTTTAGGATCACTAAAGTTTATGCATGAAAATGTTTATTCGTTTCACGTAACTCTCTATAGTTCTACAACTATATTTAGCCTGAAGGAAACATCTCGTATAATCGGATTAAATTCAACTTTTGTTAAATATAATAAATTTATAATAATGTATAATTTTTAAACAATACGTTTAATTAAATTTATATGGTATAAGTATAAAAAATAATAAGTCTTATTCATACCACATTCAAAAACTTGAACCTAACCACCTTTTTATATAGATTGTAATTTCACCGACACATCTAACCTTTGATCATAGTCCATACAAAATTCAAATACGCATATTTTAGAAAGCTAAAATTGATTTAAAATTATTTATTTATCATTCCAAACGTTCATTACTGAAGACTTGAATTTAAAAACCGAAAAATAATAGACAACCCAAAAATGCTATACAAATATTGTTATTGTTGAGTTTTTAAATTATTTTATTATATTTACATACGAAAATTAAACTGGATAAGAATATTGGTTTTTTTTTTATGTACTTATAAATTATTATAAAATTAAAAAACAATCTTTCAAAGCTTCTACTTAGTTTTTGCTTTTATCCTATAAAGGCATAATTTATAGTTACCAGTACGAATAATTCATCAGTTGCACAATATAGCTTGCAAAACTTAACCCAGTTTATATAAGTGTGTGAATAAAAGGTATGTTCATTTTACGACGTTAATTTTTATGTCAATATTATAAATAAAAATTACAAATCTGTCAATCGATTGGGCTATAAGTTCGACAAATTTTAGTGTGGGGAAAGTAACTGGTACCTAACCTATGTTCTGCATGTATCATTACACAATAATTATGTTGTTTTACTAGAGTACCTATTTTCATTTTGTGCGTTGTACTATTTAAAAGTTAAATTATAATTCTATTAAAAATTTAAAAACTTTTATTAGTACATTACTGCAAAGTTAATACATACTCTTAACTTCAACATAACATTGTATTATTGATATATATATATATTCTATGAATATGAATAATAATTTTAGGAAATATACTTTTACTATCAGGTTAAGATTATTAGTACTATACATTTATTGTGTTATGGTTGCTCAAAGAATAACTATCGGGAGTCTCATTTAAACATTCGTTTAATATAGTTAACTATTAATATCTTGTGATTGTCTATGTGTTACTTGGTCTATAGATAGGTACGCTCTACTTAGTATGAAGTGTATTTTTTTTATTACAGTTTACTGCTGAGTAGAATTAACTAACAAAAAATACATTTTAAAAAACGACATCAATTGATTTTAGTACTGGGGAGTGGTGCTTAACAAGTTTTGATTAATAACCTATTTATATACAAATCATAATTAAGTACCGAACGATTAAACCTCACAAATATTAGTTTAATTGTCAAACTATATAATTGTTTGTTGACAGTTAGGGATACAGCTCTTAAAATCTATATACGTATATGTATTTTTAACATTTTAATTACGTATGATATACATATACCTAAAGAATATGTACATTATTATACAACTATATTTTAATCTAAGGCTATGGTAACTGTTATTACAAATTGTATATATTCCTTAAATATTAGAAAAAAAATTTATTTATTTGATACATTATTATTTATTGTTATATATTAAACTTATAAATAGGACGTCGATAGTAAATGTATATAATTACTTTGAGTGATAACAGAAATAATAATATCTTATGTCAATTTTTTTTAGACGTATTTGATTATACACAAAAAAATATAACACTTATCATTATCGGTAAAAATATAAAATATAATTAATCATCATGCCTAAAGTGAAAATATTTTATGAATATTTATTACATTTTTTCCATGGTACTTTAAACTGTTTATTGCACCCTGAGAGTATTTTTAAAAATCTATTATTAAACATAAATAAAAATAAAACCCAACTGCAGGTCACTGTTGCGATAAAATATGATTTCAGCCATTAATAAATTTAACTTTAACAGAACATTAAATGTTTTACTGATTAATTCTTATATTCGCGAATGAAATTTATAGCTACCCATACTATAAGCATTAACTATTAATCATATATTATATTTATACATCTTCAAACAGGTATATAAAATATTTTTCCCGACATCAAAATATAATAATAAAAAAAAACTGATACTTTGATATAATAAATAGGGTGGAAAATGAGGAGAGATTTAACCTGAGGATTATACGGATCAACCCCTGCAGTCTGGTGATATTTTTATTACTCAGATATTTCAGTGAAAGTGATAGGTATTAGTGTCTAAGAAAAACATTTTCCCTTGCTTGTTGTATACACATTCTATATTTGTATTCAATATTTTAATTCATCCGAATAAAGCCTTATGCATTTATTTCGTTTTTGCGTATTAAAATGAATATAATTAATGAAAATTTGAAGTAGGTCGTCTATAACAGCGTTTCCCAAAGTGTGTTCCGCGGAACCTTAGGGTTCCGTGGAACAATGTCAAGGGTTCCGTTAGATGTATGAGATTATTGAGAAAATTATGTTTATTTAATGTTTGTTGTTTAAAAAATGTTTGATTGAAAATTTTTTTTTTAACTGAGTTTAATAATGAAAAGTCATTAACAGTATCATTAAAATATTATTTGGACTTGAGAGTTTAAGGAATTGATTTTCCTTTTTTAATTTACAAAAATTGTAGTTGAGTTGGATTAGACATTATAGGGTTCCGCGAAACACAAACAATTTTTTAAGGGTGCCGTGGTCGTAAAAGTTTGGGAACCGCTGGTCTATAATATTATGTTAATATTTGTATAAATATTTATTTTATTTAAACTATTAATAGTTTTTTTTATTTGACAAATGCACATACACAATCTATATAATTTTGCACAATAAGCGTATAAGATAAGTGTTAAAAAAAAAAACAGGGATTGCTTGGATAAGAAGCCGCCCATTAGTGGCACTTACTTACTTGACGTTATATTTAGGGTAATTAATGAGGGATATTTAATTTAAATGGTCACGACAGAAGGTATTTTGGAGTATGTATCTGGGATCCACATACAATTAGTCATAGTTATCTTTTAGCTCACAAGTACACCGTATAGATATTTTTGTATTTTGCTAGGTATACATTAAAAATTGATCATCCGTCGCATGATTATACTATTGTCCTTATTTATTTGAAATTTTTCTCACTAGCTGATAGACAAGTCCAAGCAAATTTAGGTTTTCTAAGTAAGTTACTCGCCTCGGGTAAAAATAGGTAAAATAGACTCTCCAAATCCCCTTAGTTACCTTAATTTCAAAATCCCTTCTTCTTCATCAAGCAGTAACTATCCGTTCTACAACCCTTTCAATTCATAAGATATACTGCCTCGTAGAATGATGCAGATTGCCAATATAATTTTACTCATAATATAAACTATATCCATAAAATATATCTTGTACGTTTTCTTATTTATTATAAACTATTTATTTAAAACTATACAATACACATTATGCAAATGTTCTTATTGTAATTTATAATGTAATAATTGAGCTACCAGCCCGTATTATTAATAAAATAAAATAAAAATAAATTTTTTTAAATTAAAATATACTATTTTTAAGATTATTTTATAAATTATATTATTATATTGTATTTAAAATACTTCAATACAATAATTCACAATATTACTTATTTTAATACGCATTTTTTTTGTTTACAGTAAGTGGATAAAAATTTCATTTTTTAATAAGTATTTCGTTTGAGTTGCAAAATGGTAAAATATGTACGTACCAATAATGGCCATTATGGCTCCGACAGCCATCAGAAACAATCCAAAAGATAACGCTTTGCATGCGTTCCAAAAGCATTTTTCCGCAATCGCTTTACTGGCAGCACTTAAAATTTGAACGTCTACGTTTGTTCGCCGATCTAAACCAGACATCCGATATGAAGAGCTACATTGCCGCATCACTGTATACACAACAAATAAAATATTTATATTAAATAAGATGTTCATGTTAAATACGAAATAAATTTAATTTGTATAGAAAATATTATGCATTTTAGTCGGTTATAATAATACACAAAATGCATACATTTATCGCTTGAATCTAAATAATATTCGTTGTCCGTTGCGCTATCACTAAGTACCTACTTATTATAACACGATTCTCACGAATTTCATTTACTTACCATGAAATCGAAAAATAATATAATACAAAACACGGTTAAAATAAACCAATGCGTTTTAATATATCAGTACAATACGCGTTTTCTCAAACTTTTTCTCTGGTTACTACCATTTATGGCATAAAATAAAAACTTTTGATCTTTGATATTAATATTTGTTCATATTAAATATCAACCTTAATAATTTTCTGAACTGCTCAGTGGCAATCAATAGTTCCTTAATACATAAAGTTATTTTTTTATTAAAACCCTGGACGGCGATCGATGATACAAATTTAGGTACAAAGTATAATGTATTGTTATATTAAATTCTTTATATTAAAAATGATATGCGAATCCCACACAATAACAATGCACGGGTACGGCCGAGAAAAATTCAAGTTTTATAATTTCTTTGAAATATATGTAGGACATGAAAAAAAAACATTACCGTATATTATAACATATTAGCATATTATGTATATGCTTGAGAACTTTGAATAACATAAGTACACGTTACCTGTCATTATATACTATTACGATATATAAAGCATTAACAGATAACCCAAATATAGCTATAGATCTATAGCCTATAATGGTTAAAGGTACCTCAAACCGACTATGAACATTTACGATTTATGTATTTATACGCAGTTGTATACATAAATATATTATATATTATACTTATATATATATATATAACCATGAAAAATACCATAGGATAAAAATCCAGGGTTTTCCTTGAAAAATGAACCAACATTTTACCTGATTTATATAATACATTATACCCTGTTCGGCAGTGAACTAAATGTTAGAAAATTTCATTTCATTTCAACTATACATAATATCTAACATACAGCCTAACTTATTATAATAGGCAATAAAATAAAATTCAACATGTTGACGAGTGTCCAATATTTTTTCAACAAAAGATTTAATGTAAATATAGTGTGGCGCATGATTTTAGAGTAAACTATTTGTATTAAACTAAATGTATGAAGTTAGTTTAGATTTTAAAAAAATATGGAGGTAGCCAGGTAGACACACTGTATATTATTTTAGAAAAATCTTAGTTTATTTAATCGGATAAAGAATATATAAAATAGTAGGTATATACTATCTATAAAACCTTACTTCATGAGAGAAAAAATATCAAATACAGTGCTTAGGTATATCGACGTATCTCTGTTTTTAGTGTACTACTTCACGTGTAAATCGGCGTCGGTGTAATTCACTTAATGAACTATTTCGACCGAGACAGGCAATCCGCCCTTGTCGGATTGATATATTTTTGAACGTGGTTCAACTGTTCAAGTGATCTATGCTATAAACTTTTCTATGATATCTCTATAATACCTGACATTTTCATCAAGATCGGTCGAGTATTTTTTTAATCCAAATTCTTCAAACAAACAGACCACCAAAGTTAAAATTAAAAATATATCTATCTACCATTTTTCGTTTCACGTTGTATAATACAATACTTGTGAAAATCCCATCAAAATCGGTTCATCCGTTCTGAAGCCTTTCCTGAACAAACAGACAGCCAAATGTGAAATGTACCTATTTCCTGTTTCATGCAATACTACATTTAATCGTGTACTTATATTTAAAAAACACAGTGTAATGAGCCCATGAAAGTTAATAGTAAATAATTGCATATTAGTTAACTTTCGAAATCTTTGCAGTGAATGATGTTTTTTTGTCATATTATTAAAATACAACAATACGTAGACATAGTACGAACACATTTTTTGGAGTGCCTACCACAGAACATGTGGCATATAATTTACCGTAAAATATCTAGATTTTTCCAAATACGTACCCCACAACTATTATATTTATATCAAATTTTCATGATAAAAAATAATATAAAATCATAATAATCATATTTTAAATCTATAAATAATGGCAAAACTATATACACACAAAAAAATATTAGATTTTCGTTAACCGATACCAAATTCATGTGCGAGCCGAAATTTAGAGGTCATATTCCGTGATTTACTATGAACCATATTACGTATAGGGATGGTGTATCTTATTTTATGAAATTATTTTTAGAGTCGGTTTGGTGGCTACAGATATTACCCCTCCTCCAACACACAACATAATACAAACAAATTTTACCACATTATGTATAAATTTATATATAGATATTCTTTAAGAAAACCTTTTTTAATTTATAAAAAAACATTTTAAATTACATTTGTAAACATTATATACATATTTTATACCAACAAGATATTAAATTATGGTTTTGCAAAAATATTTATATACCTAATAAAGGTACACTTAAAAAATGTTAAAATTAGTTAAAAAATCTCAATATAAAGAAATGAATAAGAATAGTAAATCATTTTACAACCATATTTTGTGCTAAAAATTGTGTTTTTTCATTTTTATTTTTAGGATAAAATACACAATCGATATCATACACATAATAAGTATATGTGGATTAAGAAAAATATAGAACGTGAGTTATTAAATTTGAAGAAAGAAGCCACCCAGCGATCACACTTTCAATTTAATTTATATATTGTATTTTTTTATTTTAGGTACTTTTTTTCACTGTAATAAATCTCCACGCCATTCATGTGATGCCAAAAATTTAAAAAAAAAATGATTTGACTCGTGGTTTTAGATTGAATTGTGTGTACGTTGACGTGATGTAATTAGTTTTTCGTAATAGTTTTAAATTATAATTGACTAATAGGTAATTAAAAAAATAAATACGTACAAATAATAATTTTCAAAAATCGAATACGATTGGGTATCAAATTTTTTTCCTATTCCCTAATGGCACAGATGCCTTTGCTCAAAGTACTAAGCTGTTCTACAATATACAAACAATTATTATTATTATATATTCGCTTATGCCTGAATAGGCAGTTTTAAACATTGACAAACTATACAAAATGTAATATAAAATATTATGTACTTTATTATATAGTAAATAATTACAACTAATTTTTATATAGGTATAATGAATTGTTGTAGTCAATTGTCTTGAAAAATATGAAAATCTATTTAAAGTATAATCATAAATCAAACAGTATTATACCTATTTATATTTCCTTTGTGAACTCAACAATATGCTCGAATATTTTGATACAGAAATTTTCTGAGTAATAAGAAATCAATTATCTACATAAAAACATGGTTCTTTGATAATATGAGACTCGTTATAAAAAAGTTATTTTATCCTCTTATATTTCACTCTGACATTTAAATGTAAATACCTACCTCACCTAACCGAAACAATATTGAGTTATGATAAAAAAGAAAAACTTAAAAATACTAAATTTTTATATAACCAATAATTTTTTTGAGAATACAGTTATATATATTTGATCCACTTAATGATATTGTCCATTTTGTGAAAAGTTATCCAGTTCATGAAACAGAAACTGTTTTTTCCCACTTAGTGAAATAATTAACAATTTCAATAGATAGATACTAATTCATAATCATTTAACTCTAGGTTAGGTCCTAATAGATCCTAATTTTAAGTTACCCCGAACATGCTTGGCTAATCACTCTGTAAGAACACATAAAATACAAAAAATAAAATCAGGCTGTCCACACTGGTTATTCTTGAAAATTTTCTCCCATTTGTACAACTATCCAACTTAATTCGTGTTCACCTCTCGTATTTCTTCGATTAGGTGGGTATATGGTATATGGTATATATATACATTTTATCTAGCTTAATTTCTATATCCAATCCATTATTTAACTTTGTGATTAAATAAACATTGAATACACCTTCCTTATTTATTAATTTTGTTACATTTTTAAACGTCAAGCTGTAGTATTTTATTTAAATAACGTATACAATATATTATTTAAATGTTTTTTATAACTAATTAGGCATACGACGGTAATTATAACCATAATAATAAATTAATATATAATTAATATAAATAAAATCATAATAATAAATTATTACCCAAGAAGTTAAAATCATGGATTAAATTATTGAAATTAAAATTGTTATACTCTGCTGGTTTGTTAGGTCATTTTTTTTTTTTTTTTATTACATTTTATAACTTTATTTTATCGATTTCTCTTTTAAAATTACTTAAAATATGTAGGTACACAAAAAAAAAATTAATGACTGTTAATATTTTAAAAACTCGTGATTAATTATGGTTCTAATATTTATTTAAAGTATTTTTTATTTCGTCATTATACTATTAACAAAATTAAATCCGCACAATTGTTTAAACATATAAGACAACCTGAACTGTATTGTAATGGCGCCCTATTATACTATTCAATACTATTCAATAGTTAAATAGAAAAAAAACCTTATTTTATTCAAACTAACTTTTCTTACCGTATACATTTTTAAAGGTATTTTCTTAAATCTTAACCTACTATAATACTATATATTTAATACATTTAATTTTAAAAGGGTTGAAATAATTTTTAAATGCACGTTTTTAGTATGAAATGTAAATTCTATAGTTAAAGTTTAACCATCCAAGTATGTAATATATAACATCATATATAGGTAGATATATATTACAGAACTTAAAATAATTTAACATAATATTGTGTGCTATAAAAAAATGAGTTACAATAAGTAAGTACGTATTTACTACATATACAATATACCATAGTGGGTACTAGGTAGTATAATATATATTGTAGACTGTATAGGACTATATAGTGTATTGTGTATATTCTAATAATCATATTTTACGTAAAGTATTCTTGTGAGTAATTACATTTTTTAAATATTTAAGTTAAATAAAAAACATGAAATATTTCATTTATACAACCAATAAGTGT